CTTCCATTCTGCCACATGCAACAACCATGCCCCTCTTCCCATCATTAAGCTCTCTTTCTATCCTTATATATTATGCATTTCTGTATTGCATTTATCTTTAATCTCCTGCTTGACATACGCAGAAAATATTAAGAAATATCCTTATTTGTTTCAAATGGTTTTCAAGGCAGGGTCATAAGATTGTTCCAGTTAATGCAATTCAGTCCATCTTTCCACATCTACAACAACTGGAGTCTGAATTTAGCATGAGGGCTTGAAATAGTTGAGAGCAGGGCTAGTCTCCATTTTTGTTCATTTAGAGACAGAGTTTGAACATTTCCTTCCCAGGAACTCAGCAGAAAACAAGTCTTTCTAAAGAGCAGCTACTGATAAATGCTTAGTTCCATTGCTGAGATCCAGAATCAGAGCATCTCTTGACAACTCAGCTCATTCAGTCCTAGCAAGCTGGGCACACAGGCAGTGGCAAAATCTTTCCAGGCCAGAAAAGGGAATGATGCTTGCCTGACAAGATGGCCAGTATGGCTTTCCCTACAAGATGGAAACTTCTCTGCCATTGTTTTAATATTAAAAAACATTTCGTTTTGCTACACATCTCAAATATCCCATCTTAGTACTACCAGTGTAACAGAAGTGATGATTACATGACAAGCTGTTAGTTCAATAATAGTTTGAACATTACAAAGAAGAGTTTTTAAATGTTGATAGAATGATTCAGAATTTGACACACAAAGTGAAATGCTTTTGTCTGCCTTTTTACAGGGAGAAAAAAAAATCTGAGGTAGCAATTCTTTGAGAATATGATGCCTGATCTCATGACACTTTTTAATTTCATTTGTCTTTATGGCTTTGTAGAACATGTGTAATATCTATCAGCTGGCTTAGATGACTTTGGTTTCCTTGCACAACACTGTGTTTACAGTTAATGAAAAATAATTATATACATTTACAGGCTTCATGATGTGTACCTCACATATACAATGCCTCAGAGATCACCAAAAAAATTCTGCTTATAACATCTGCTGTTACTACACTTTAAATGACATTTAAAGCAACTGTATATTTTCCAGCCATTTAAACATAGATACATAAACAGAATTACACCACAGAATTCACTGCTTTAACATAAGTCAATTATCATCACATATTTGGTTTACAGTTTGTTTATAAACACGTATCTCCTCTTACTAGTATTATATAAGGTCAGTTTACTGCATTTTTATTAAATAATCTTTATAGTTACATAGTATCATCAAGACCATTCTTCAAGCCTGCACTTGATGTGACAGTGAGTTTTGGGAGCACATATTACTTCAATAAACTGTATTTCTTTAAAAGTCAGGAATATTACACTGAAATACTAAAATTGTACATCAAATATGTCTTCACTGAAGAAGAAAGTTGAATTAAAGAATTTAGGATAATGAGTCATATTTGTCAATACTGAAGAAAAACTGTTAATAAAGTTTGTCTGAGTCCAAAGGAAAGGTAATCAATTAAAAAAAATACATATTCAATTTTATGAATTTTATAAAATTAATTAGTTCTGAAGAGCATTTATGCTTCCTTTTAGGGCTTTTATGCTACTAAAAGGTAATTCACACTTTAAATGATACATGCATAAATTTGACATTGAAAACATCTTTCAAACTTTTCAAATAATTATTCCAGGTAAGAAATTTGACTAATAATGCAAGAGCTAAAGGGCTAATCCCTGTTCCGGAGTAAATTCTCTTACATACTTCATCACTCCATTTATCAAAGGAAGTGTCAAGAGCCTGTTATTTCCCACTGGTGTGTCATGTTTTTATAACAATCAACTGTGTACAACTGCTGCAAAATACCTATTTCCTAATAAGAAGTTATTCCTCAAAGAGCTGGAAGCGAAAATGTTGTTGCAAACAGAAAGAATGAAGTATTTGAACATCTAAAGACTGACACACTTAACTGAAAAGTATTCTGATTTTACAGAACACTAGTTTATTCTTTTCTTAATGTACTTTCAGATGTTAAAGGCCACTTTCAGAAGGTGTTGCTTCCACCTTGGAAGTAACAAGGTGTTTTGGAAAATAAATGCAAATCCAAGGGAAAAACAACCAACCTTCACATTTGTTCAGCTTAAAGAATGAAATGTATTTATGAAAATTGTGTTAAAATTGTATCTAGCTAGCAAATCCCTCAGAAAGCTTAGCTACATTGAGGCAAAAAGCAAATGCACCTCTTCTACTCTGCCTGAATCTCCCTTTTCACAGAAAGCTATGATGATTTGGCATATTGAGACATTCATCAGCAAAGGTAGGAGAGAATCTACACCTCACAATGTCATTTAGGCTACAGCTATTTTGCAGCTTCAGTACCAATTTATGGCAAAGCATAGAAACTCTTCCACTCAGTTCTCTTTCTATGTGCATTGCTGGAGGCACAGTTATAGATACCTACAGTTAGACGGGATGAATCATACACGTAAAACCTGCTGAAAGTTGTATCAGTTTGCCTCAGGTCCAAAGTAACTGGTATGACAGCAACAGCCTGCTGCTGACACCTCATCCCATGCTTTCTTTGATTTACGACGTCTGTGTAGACACCTGTGTTTTACCCTAAGAAATCCACTACATAAGGAAAGTCTTTACACTGTGGCTTGGTAAGATACTATAGCCTCTATGCATGATCAGATGAATCATGAAAGGCCTGTAGCAGCATGTCTTTATGCACAGTATTAGGAATAGAAAACAATGGCTTGGCTCAGATACGGCTATCTGTGTACAGAAAGAGAATGTGTCTGATCTGGATCAGCTCAGTCAGAAAACTGAAGTGTAAATGAAATGCTGCCAAAAAGGGTGTATTATCAGCTCACATACATCCACACACACAAGTTGCTGCTCTGCAAAACATTAGTTTTGACTGGTAAGTTGGTAGTTTCTTTGCAGTACTATTAGTATCCCTAGAAAATTTGTAAGATATACTACAAATGCTAAAGTAAAATTGACCTGTAACTAAACAAAAATTTATGTATGGCTGCTCTCTGGAGTGGCCACTTCATATCTTCAAGTGTTAAATAAGTGGCTGAAATAAGAACCTAAGATACCTCCCTACACATTCAGCAGAACATGCAGACTGCTCTGATCAGCCTCTCGATGTGGGAGGTACATTGCCTGTGTAGAGGACACAGAGTCTAAATTTGATGCCTAAAGTGAAAGTTACAGTACACATTAACACATATATTTACAGATACGCCGTTAAATTCTAAAGTCCTGCCAGCAGAAGGGCTAGACAGCTTGACTGATCTGTATTTGAGCAGATCCATGGCATGGAGGCAAAAGGTGAGAGAGAATGTGATTTGCCAAATTAGACGTGGCCTTCTGGGACCTTCAAAATCTGAAAGTCTGTTTTGACTGGCTCTGCAGCAGGTTACCTGATACTTCAGAAAGGCCGGCTCAGTGCATAAACTCATGAAAAGCTGCAGAACTGTAAAGCTGTTCAGGAAGGACAAGAGCAGAAGAGAGCCCATCTGTAGTCAATACACTTTCCTTCATATGTTCAGTACAATTTCCCTTACCTTGTGTTTCCAGTTTCCCCTGAATCTAGCAATACTGGCTAAATACTTGGCCCAGTTTTAATCAGTCATCACTTGGTCATACTTTCCTGGGGTAAATAAAACTTTTATTTCAAGAAGGAAGGACCACAGCAAGTTCAGAGTCATTCCAGTATAATTTTGATTTTGCCTTTGGTTACATGGAGTATGAGGAATCTGCACTGTTCCCACTGCTGTTCTGGGGACATCTGTCCAGCTCAAGTACCTGGACTCCTTTCCTCATTCCCACCACTGTTTCAGCGGAGCTCTGATGCAGACTTTATGCTTCATATCTTTGACTTTGTAGGTTGGATTCCAAAATTAGTGTTGATAAGTTCATTATGAAAAATCTGACTTCAAACTTTCCTTCCAGGCTCAGAGAAAAATGCAATGTGTAAGGATGCGGGAAAGCATAATTCCATTCATGATTGGCATCAGAGTACAAATTCAGTGGGAAAGAAGCTTTGGTCTCAAAACTTAGACTCTATTTTAATTTTATAATTACAGGTGATAAAAAACATGTGAAATAAATATTGTACAATTCAAATAGTAATACATCTGCAATATATTAGAAATATAGTTTAAAAATAACTTCATATTCTTAATTAGTATAAAGTTTAATTTTATGCTTTCTATAGAAATGGCAGCTTTACTTGTTACCGCTGTTTCAGCAGAAGGAAACAAAAAAGCTCCTAAGTAGCTAAATAGCATTGGGAAATTAAAAAATATTTTATTTTGCGTTTGATTTTTTTTTTTGGTAATAGAAAAATAGCCTTTAAAAAGACATTGTTAAACATATGGGCGTGTACTAAAGTAGAATTGTATCTTATATACAGTAAGGCAGTATATCAAATATTGTCCTGCTATTTAATTCGTGTTTGGTTTGACTGGACTAGGATATGTATGGCAAAGCAAAAATATACTTAGAAGAATTTGCTATTTTGCTGTAATTTGTTGAACATATTCTCCTTTATATATGTTTTGTCATAAGTAACAGCTCATTTCTTCTTCAGGTTTGAGAAAAAATATAAAGAAAACTTAATCTAGTGTCAGAATGCATTCTGAAGAAAATACATTGCAGATCAGAATGCTGTTGTGCAGTGATTTATCTGATTTGGGAACTGCTCATATCCCTACGGTATACTGACTGACCTGTAAAAATTTGAAACTTTGTTGAATCTGCAGTATTCCGTCAGGTTTAATCAACTAACAGAAGATCTGCAGAGCTGAGTAATTAGTTTACAGTGTATTTTTCATGGCAGATAATATCCATTCCCTCGTTTCCCTGTGTCAGAAACGTGTTAATGATCCAAGGTTTACTTCCTTGATTATTACCTCAACCCACAGTTTATTTTATTCTTTGTATAATACATGTAGGAGGCTAGGATTTTTTTAAGGAACTATTTGCTATGTGGTTTTGTTTTACTGTACATAACTAAGTATGTACTGTACTAACTACTAGTTATTTAAAGGAGGGCATAAAGGAAGATGGGTCCATGTACTCCAATCCACTCATCTCTCTTTTGCACTCACTTGGGACTGTCAGACAGAAACTTTTACTTTTCTCAGCTTGACTTTGCTGAAGGCTCTGAGATGTTTTCATGGCAGGCTCTCGAGTCACAGATGTGTGCTGGATGCGTGAATCTGGCATTAATACTAGAATATTATGGTCCACAACTGTTGAGACCTTGGTATATTCTTTGCTGTTTCCCGGAACAGTGTATTTTTCCATCTTTCCACTATTTTCTTTATGTTTCAGTAATACTGCTGGCTCCTCATCTTGTCTGATTTTGTGAACTTCTACATAATCCATTAGTTTAGGATTCAAAAAATTTAACTTGTCATTAGGTCTGTTTTGTTTAACCTGTACTGTGGTTTGGTGAGTTTTGGAATGCAAATTCTCCATCTCTCTTTGCTTTTCCATGTCATCGTGGGCAGTTTCAATGATAGGATATTGTGACTGATGCCTTTCTTCATTTCTCATCAAAACTTGTGCAACGTTCACATTTGCGTTACCCAGTGTTATCTTTTGCGCATCTACAGTACTCTGGTAGGCAAACATAGGAGACTGATTATTAGGTAACTGAGCAGGCCATGTGGATGCTTTTGTACTCTCATTGTTAAAAAGGAGTATTTTCTGTTCTGAGGCTATACACTGAGTTTCCCAGCTTTTTGCTCCTCCTTTATTTTCTTGAACATCTCTTAGGTCTTCTGTTTGAAGTGTTGATGGAAGGGTGTGGGACTCCCTGCACTTCTCAGAAAGCAGAGAAGGGCTATCACAGCTCCCTCGGCCTGAGTCGCTGTCTGTTTCCTTGGGTATCATTTTTGCATTTTTACTGGCATGAAGATTGTCATGGCTTGGCATCAGTTGCTGATCCTCACTGTCCTCTACCTCCAGATATTCTATCAGTAGTTCCTCACAGTCCGATGTTGGAGGGAAACCATGGCAACCAAGAGCACTCAATAATTCTTCAGACCTTCCTGTCTAAGGGCATAATAAATAAGATATATTTTTTCACTGTTAACCTTAGGGCTTATCTGACTAGAACAACTGTGAACAATCTACATTTTTAATATACAAATACTTTAATAGTTATATCACTAGACCTAAACTGGATTTCTATTGCTGCAGAAAATAGTGGAAGAACAGGAGAAAATTTCTTGAGTTCCCTCAGTGGGGAGACACAATCCTAGAATTCATGTTTCTAAAATGGGAAGACTAGGGAGCTTTTGGCAGGTACGGGACTCATGGGTTTAACAAGAAGGAAACGGAGGAGAATAACAGAATGGCCATGTCCTGTCTCCTCGGCATGGCAAGAGACTGCGGAGAGGAACTTCCATCAGAACTAGTTGGAAGATCACACAGACATTGGCTCTTGTGGTGTCCCAGGGAACAGCTGCGGACGCAAACCCTGTTCTCAAATGCCCTCCTTACAACTAGTGCAAGGCAAGACTGTCTCACACATAGCCTTCACACAAATCAAGCGGAAAGTGTCACTTATATTTAACTTTGATTAAATTAGTTGAAGCTGTCTTATGCTTTATTATGGTAATTGTATTTTCTACTCCATAATTTGGAAAAGTAAGTAATAGTTAATTCTTTTGTTGTTAGCACTGGTACTCACCTCTAACAGATGTGTATCTATGCCTTTTATCTTCGGTCCCGGAACTGGCGGTAGGATAAAGGCTATCATTCTAAAAAAACCAGAACAAACACACAAAGCATAAGTGGGGGCCCTATCTCTCTATTTTTTCTCCCATTTCCTCAGAATGTGACTGACATTTTAAATGCTGCTTCTGTTTCTGATATCTCCCTGTTGGACCTCTGTTTCCAGTTTACTTCTCAAGCCAAGTAATTTACAAATCCAGTTACACTTCATAATTTGCCCTTAGATGTATTTATAACAGAAGAATAGTATAAAAGTTATTCAACTGGAAAAGTAACACTGCTAATATCCTTTTACTGTCCTTTGTCCCTTAACGTCCAGTTTTCTAATATCACTGTAACTTCATCACTGGCCAAGAAACAGCTATATGAGGCACTGTTCAGGAGGACTAGTGGGCCTGTATGCACATACTTGACTGTCAGCAATTATTACTAAATGAGATTTATGATTAATGACTTCTGATAGCTTTTCCATCAACAGTTTCTAGCTGCTTCTTCTACTCAGCCAGTATTTTTTGCAAAATTTGTATGTCAGTGTTAATCTTTGTGATACTTTTCTCTTTCAGAATTGATTGAAATTAGCCAGTGTACTAATAAATTATCTGGGGAGTTGACAGACAGGTGGACAGAAAGACAACCTCATAATATAACCTTATTTCCTTTAGGAAATTAAGGCAAAATCAAAAGGTGTGTTTTCTATAGGAGAAGGGATAGTCCAAACGGCGTTTGCTAAACTGCTTGGCTATCCAAGAGGGTCAGATCTAATATAGACATGTCTTTACCAAGTGAGAATTTAGCCTGGTTTCCCTAAAGAACAGAAATACCTCTTTATCAGTTGTGAATCTGAAGTCAAATACTTGTAAATTACAGTTTATAAGAGAATGCAAAACCTATAGGAAATTGAATGGTAGAAGTCTATTTTGGAAATGTTTGCTGGGATTTTCAACTCCATGCAATTGTGAAATCAGTGACTTACCTGTACCCTTTCAAAACCATTGTCCAGCTCATGATTAAACATGTAAGAGATGACAAGACACCAACGACGATCCACACAACCATATCTTTTACTCTGAAGTCTAAGAAACAAACAGAATTACTTAAGGATACACATCTAGCAACAAACAGAATTACTTAAGGATACACATCTAGCATATCCATAGTCAGCATGTAAAAAAAGTCTCAAATTACTTTTATTTTAAATATTGGGCTAAGTTGCCATATTTGGTATTGAATCTAGAGACCTTTTCTATGATAGATGGATCTCAACAGTCATTGTAATA